CCCCTTACAGAGAATCCACCGCCAACACCATACCGCCCCCCCAACCCTGGTCTCAGGCGGCAAATAGTGTAGGGACAGCCCTGGTTTTTAGCTGAAATAAAAAAGAAAACTGAGGCACCCTCCACATCTAAGGCCCTGCTCAAACTTTGTGATGCGTGAATGCACAAGAACACATTCGTGCGCATTCGCATGCATTTTGCCACACTGTGGCATACGCGGCAAGGCAGCTCGTGCAGCATTTTCAGCTGTGAGCGCCCTGCGTTGTTTCCTTGCGTGTTCGGCACACGTCCACGAGTGGGAAAGAAGTGCATTTTACTGTCCGTGTTTGGGGTGCCATTGAAAAGTAATGGCGCCACAAGTGTGTTGCACATTTTTTACGTGTTGCGTGCGCCAACAGGGACTGAGGAGGACCAGTAAACTGCAGCATGTTCGATTTTTATTCTTGGATTGAGATACATTCTGACAGCAGGAATCTCATCCAGCAGGAGGTGCTGTTCGGCCTCCGGCCACCAGATGTCGCCACCGCAAATGTTCATGACAGTTCGCCGGCTACTATAGTACGGCAGGTGAAGGGTGTGACAGCGGGCTGTGTGTTTCCTCCTTCCAGTAGAAGCCGGTGTGTCCGCTTCCTCTTCCACTCCGAGCCCGGACTGTAAACAGGGAAGGTGACGTGTGACTTCAGAACATGGCTCCGCTGTACACCCTCTGCCTGGGGCTGCTCCTCTGCCTCCCGCCTGGTCTGCTGGCCGGTAAAGGTGACGTCATCGACATCACTGACACCAACTGGAGGGAGATCCTGCACGGGGAATGGATGATCAAATTGTAAGTGAGGGCGTGCCCGGCCAGGTGTGCACCCCGATCATCCTGCGGGGTTCCCCGCCTTCCATCAGGGGCTGTCAGGGTCCCCCATGCAGAATTATCGGGGTCCCCCATGTAGAATTTTTAGAATCCGATGCAGAGGGATTGTTTCTATTGGAGCTGTCGGTTGTTATTATTTCACGTATGTCAAAAGTCCCAATGTACATGAGATGGCTGTTAAATTGTGTGGTTTAGGAAGGTTGAAGAAGCTCTTCTGATTGCCATTACCTGACCCTGGGAGGGTCTCCTTCTATGAGATCGGTGGCACTGGGAGGGACCCCCTTCTTCTCCTGAGATAGGTGGCACTGGGGGGGCGACCACCTTCTTCTCCTGAGATAGGTGGCACTGGGGGGGGGGACCACCTTCTTCTCCTGAGATCGGGGGGCACTGGGAGGGTCTCCTTCTCCTGAGATCGGTGGCATTCTTTCCTGCACGCTTGTTCCCGATTACTGACTCCCTAATTGGCCATTCTCAGCCTGGGCTACATGCAACCCCAGGGTTCCTCCAGAGATTGTTGGGGGTTCCTTGAGCTGAGCTGGGTTCCTTCCCATTTGATGGTGCTTAACAAGTTCTGGGGCCAGTGCACTTGGCAGAACAAGTGGCATGACACCAATGATCTTCTTTTTTTAGCTGTCTGTAAGAGTGGCTTTCTGACCACCACTGCACCCTAAGGGGGGCATTGGGGGGCCAGTTGCCACAAATGTAAGGGACATTTTTCCCTTTGACCCAAAGAATTGTTTTTAGCAGAGGTTCCCCTAGACCTGAAAATTTATTTTAAGGGTTCCTCTGGGGCAGAAAGGTTGAGAAAAGCTTCCCTAGCTAGTGAAGACAGAGTCAGGGTGACATCTTCGTGCCTGCACCGTAACAACTAATAAGTAATGGCAGCTTCCATATGGGTTCCCTTTATATCCAGATTCATGATTATTGCTCAGTAGCTCTGTAATCTGCACCCATTGTAATGCAGAGTTTTTAGATTTTTATTGGTTGTCTTGTTCCCTAGCTATGCTCCCTGGTGTCCTGCCTGCCAGAAGCTGCAGCCAGAATGGAATGAATTTTCTGAGTGGGGAGAAGACCTCAATGTCAACATTGGAAAAGTGGATGTAACTGCTCAGCCAGGTAATTTCACCTTGTTGCCCAACCCGATGTAACCAGTAAAGTGAAGGCAGTGGGCATTCTTCAGTAAACCATAGCAACCAGTCATGACCCACTTTTTAATGATTCGAAAATCTGGTTGCCAAGTATTGCATATGTCTGAAGGTTCTCATTGATCCAGGTCATGGGATAGCTAGTAGTAGTTGGTCACAGCCAACTGGACTTGTAGTGTTGAGGATGTTTAGTAGCTTCTCCAAGTCACTCCTTCAGTTCCCGAACTAAAGAACCCCATTAGGTCCTCTTCTCACAATGTTCACCCGTCTGGTCCAGCTTCTCCAAGTCACTCCTTCAGCTCCAAAACTAAAGAACCCCATTGGGTCCTCTTCTCATAATGTTCACCCGTCTGGTCCAGCTTCTCCAAGTCATTCCTTCAGTTCCAGTACTAAAGAACCCCATTAGGTCCTCTTCTCAAAATGTTGACCCATCTGGTCCAGCATCTACCAAGCATACGTGCCACAATCTCCATGCAGTCCTATAGTGGGTTTAAGAGATGGAGCAGCACTGACAAGGTCACACCGCAAAGGTCTCGGCAGAGCAGCGTCAGGTTAGTATATGACTTGAAGTGGGGGGGGAGGGCGCGGCCATCAAGACAGCATTGACCATTGCAGACTGTGTGATCTGAGCCAAAACATGGTCCACTCAGAAGGCATATCCAAAGACTGGACTGAAAACATGACCTTTAACATTTCAGCTGTATTATTTCTACAGCTCAGTATTAAAGCAAATATTAAGCGGTACCTGATGTGGTGTGAGGTTACTGCTCATGCTCTCTTGCGGGACCAGCCCTCCCTGACACTTCAGTATTTGTTCAATGTTGATTCACTGAGGCAGCCAGAAGCTTGTATTTTCAGGATGGCAAGACCTCCGTTTTTCCAGGCTCTTTTCCCCCTGTTGTGGAGTCTCACTACTCTTGCCGTATATTCATATTTTAAAGGCAAAGTTCTCTCTAGCATTACTCAATGAACTTTAACCAGCCATATAATACATGTGCCCGGATGAATGCATAGCGCCACGTTTTACTTCAGTCCGTGCTCCGATTGTCTAGCATTGGGAAATATCTACTGTTACCAGCAACCCCATGTCTCATGTTATCATTCAGCTCTCCTCATGCTATCTATGTCTTTGACAGCCTCAGGGCACAAAGGAAGCACATTCGATCACATTCACGCACTACACACACAGACACTGACAAAGGTTGAACTCGATGGACCTGTGTCTTTATTCAACCTCAAATACTATGTAACTATAATCAATTTCCACTCAGGCTTTGCAACTGTAGATAGCGTGAGGGGGACGTAGATAGCATGAGGGGGGTTGAACAACACCTCAGAACCTAAGGTGGGTATCCGATGCCGATTGCTGGACTATTGGTGCACAGACAGAGGTCAAACATGGTGTTAGGGTAAACGTCCACTTTTATTACTACAATTTATTTTAGTTAAAGTGAAAGATCACCCTGGAATCTTTACCAGCCATATAACACACAGCACCGTGTTTGACTGCCCAGCTATCAACATGAGGAGGGCTGAGCGGCACCTTGGGTTGCAGGGTGTTGCTGGTAATAGCCAGCTGTTTCCAATGCTGGTTGCTGGACTATTGGTGCACATACAGAGGTCAAACTTGGTGTTAGGGCGAACGTCCACTTTTATTACCACATTTTCTTTTTAAGTGGAAGATCAGACTGGAATCTTAAACAGCCATATAACACATGTTTCTGGATAAATGCATGGCACCATGTTTGACTGTCCAGCTATCAACATGAGGAGGGCTGAGCGGCACCTTTGGGTTGCAGGGTGTTGCTGGTAATAGCCAGAAGTGTCCAATGCTGATTGGAGGTCAGAGGTCAAACATGGTGCTAGGGTGAATGTTCATCTAAACAGCCATATAACATACCTGAATAAATGTGTAGCACCATGTTTGACTTCTGTCAGCACCCCGGTTGCCCAGCAGTTGGCATCTGGAAACGGAAGTTATTACCAGCGATACCATGCAACCCAAGCCCCCTCATGCTATCTACGTCCTGTGATTGCAAAGCCTGAGTGGAAACTGCTTGATCGTGCTTTCTTTGGGCCTTGTCGCTGTCGAAGACGTAGATAGTATGATAGTATGGGGGGTTCTGAGGGACACAAAAAGTGGCATGGGGTTTCTGGTAATGACCGTTAGTTTCCAATGTTGATTGATGGCCAACCAAAGTGTGACCAGAAGTCTAACATGGTGCTATATCAAGGTACATGTGTTACATGGCTATTTAAAATTCAAAATCCTAGAGAAAAGAGGACCTGTCCTTATGGCTGCAGCAGGCTGAGCTTGGATCTCGGTTGCAGAAATTGTGGTGTGGCGTTCTATAGACGCATAAAAATAGATGGCGGGCGATTTGGTTGTCCAGTTTCCACCAACAGCTGAAATCTCAGTGTATGGTATACAAACGGTGTTATAAATTAAAAATTATTATAACTGAATAATACATTAATTTCTAATAATTTAATCTGTGTGATGCACATTGCCCTCTGTACCACATTCTTAGTAATGTGTTCTGTTTTCTAGGACTGAGCGGCCGTTTTATCATAACAGCCCTGCCTACAATATATCAGTGAGTATCTCCGTATAGACCTCATCACACATCCTGTATTTTTCCATATTCGTCCATGACGGCACCACGATGAGGTTGTCAGAGCATCGTACAGTCATGGCCAAAAATATTGGCACCCCTGCATTTCTGTCTGATAATGCACCACTTCACACCGAAAATTCTTGCAATGACAAATGTTTCAGCATTCTCATATTTATTTCTATTGTTTGTATTGGTATGACACAAAAAAGTGGAGAAATCAAATCTGACGCATTCCACGCAAAACTCCAAAAATGGACTGGGCAAAATTATTGGCAATTAATATTTGGTAGCACAGCCCTTGGAAAAAATAACTGAAATCAATGGCTTCCGGTAACCATCAATTAGTTTCTTACAGGAATTTTGAGCAGTCTTCTTTCACCAACTGCTCCAAGTCTCTCAGATTGGAAGGGTTCCTTTTCCCAAATGCTGCTTTGAGATCTCTCCACAGGAGCTCTATGGGACTCAGATCTGGACTCATTGTTGGCCAGTCCAGTACTCTCCAGCGCTTTGTCTGAAACCATTTCTGGGAGCTTTTTGACGTGTGCTTTGGGTCATTGTCCTGCTGTAAGACCCATGACCTCTGACGCAGACCCAACTTTCTGACACTGGGCCCTATATTGCACCCCAGAAATCTTTGGTAGTCTTCAGATTTCATAATACCATGCACACAGTCAAGACATCCAGTGCCTGAAGCAGCAAAGCAACCCCAAAATATCAGTGACCCCCCACCATGTGTGACTGTAGGGACTGTGTTTCTTTCTTTTGAAGGCCTCATTTCTTTTTCTGAAAACAGTAGAATGATGGGATTTACCAAAAAGCTGTCATTTTGTGTCATTCCAATACAAACAAAAGAAATAAACGTGACAATGCCGAAACAGTTTTAATCGGAACACGTGAGGTGGTGCATTATCTGACAGAAATGTAGGGGTGCCAATATTCTTGCCCATGACTGTATGCTTATATCATGTGCTTGTGCTGGATGTCACGCATCTTTTTTTCTTCTTCCTGGTAGAAGGTGGAATTTAAAACATGCTTTTATGATGTTCTAAAGCAGGGCTGGGCAACCTTGGCATTCCAGCAGTGCTGAACCTGTAAATTCCATCATCCCTGTGCTTTTTGGGAGTCGCGGCTCTCACTCTTACAATGCCTCTTGGGATTTGAAGTTACACGATATCTGGAGTGCCCAGGTCGCCTGCCCCTGTTCTACAGGCTGCACAAAGGAGAGTGACTTATTAAAAGGACTTATTTTACCTGAAGCTGCTCACAGTAACACATTTCCTGTACTAGGGTGACAAAACGTGCTCCCTCTACTGTTTGTAAGGAGGCAGCCATGGCTGTCACACAGTGGTTTCTCTCTCCAAACATATTTCTCAATAGACGCAAAGGATACAAGTCCATTTTGTGTGCACCAAATACCTTTACAAATCCCGTTATTACAATATAAAAGTAGCAGTGGCGTCACTGTGCTGGACATAGCCTGTGCAGAGAGCAGAGCCGTGTGAGGGATCCAGCAGGCCCCACCCGCTACAGGCTGCCCACAGAAAACTACAGGAGGGGGTGGAGACGAGACTAGTCACCCTGCACAAGGAGAGAGAAGCATGAAGCGGTCTTTATCACAGGAAGCTCCAAGTCTCACACTGGAGTACTGCACAGATCTGGAAGAAATACACAAAGCTCACCGAGATTCAAGAAGCATACACAATTCTCTGGTATTTAGGCAGTACTTCTTGAGCTTAAAATCCATCTTTATTTGTGGAGCTTCGTATCTTTAAATCAAATAATGTCATTTGACTAATCAGTGTGACCTTTGCTAATGGAAAAAACTGTGATGGAACCGCAATTACCTTCTTTGCTCCCAAATGTAGAAGTCACCTGTCATAAGATAAATATGAAGGATGCCATTGCTGACCACCTGAAAATGCTAGCTGCCTGGCTAGTGACCTCTTTCCTTTCACATATGACATTGCTCAGCCCTGGTGGGTGGTGGTTCACTTGCTGAACATGGCAGCATTAGAGGAAGGGGAGAAGGTCACATGTCCTTCATACTAAGAAGTACTGGATATTGTCCCATGCATCAGCAGATGATCAGAGTGGTGCCATAGCACGATCAAGGTAAGTATCGGCTGAGATGGGGGGTGATCAGGAGGTCCTGAATGGGCAAAGGGACATTTTCACTTTAATAAAACCACCTACAAGACCACCCAATGCATTTTGGTGTATCAGAGGTATTTCCAGGAATGCTTTGCTTTGTTCCATCTGGAAGCATTTGGCTAACACTCTTCCTCATTGGTGTCTTTCCGATCAGCTGTAAAGATGGCGTTTTCCGGAAGTACCACGGATCCAGAATGCACAAGGACTTCATAAGCTTTGTGAGCGAGAAGGAGTGGGAGGGGCTAGAGCCCGTGTCATCCTGGTTCTGCCCGGACTCTCTGCTGTAAGTAAAAGCTGAACTTACTGAGATTTGTGCTGAGAATAAACGTGGCCGGGCGATACTAACACAACAGGGTGTGCAAATGGTGGCATCTGGAAATTCGACCATACACTTATCCACGGTAAAAAAAAAGACAATCCACATCCCCAGCGGGTCAGAGGATTGGCTGCAGTCACTGTTCTGCTGAGAAATTTCACACCGCCTCCTTCAACAAACGGGTGCCAGTAGGGCCGCACACTGTTTATATTTCCCCAGTCGGCAGGACTCCGCCGACATTCGCACAGTGTGTGGCCAGCTGTGTGCACATTTTCTGTCCATTAGTGATTTGGATTTTCCCAAGTCATCATCCAGGGCAGCACCTGAGAGAAGGATCCACCCACCTAAAACAGGAAACGCATCATCCACAATTAAAATAAAAGGGGCGGTACTGCCCCACCACCTCAGTTTATTGTGTTTCCTCCGGCCTAACAGGAGCATTATAACCATTTGTTATTTTGTCCATAGGCCTGCGTGCTAGTTGCAGGGGCCTCCCAGTGCGTGCTCCCCCGTGAATCAGGGACACTGGACCTGGGGGGTTGCATGCCTGGGCTTGTCCGAGGATTAACCTCCAGGTTATCCTATTATGGGACCCTCCCTCCCCATCTATCCCTGAGGTTTCTTATCCGCCTTGAGGAAAAGTAACCATCCCCGGGTGCATATCGGCTCTAGCAGAGCTTTCCCTTACTCGCATTTGGTTCGGCTCAGAGTTCTCGGCATCGCCTTGAATGGGGCGGTTTGCCATCCATGCTCCCTATGTATGCTGCCATGTTGTGGATATTGATATCCTGTAGCACCCAGGGCCTCCTTGAATGGACAGCTATGCAATGGAGTGGTGAGTACCCCTGGCGCCAGCATTCGCAGACGCCAGGGAGGGAGTGCAGCGGGCGAGGGATGGAGCCACAAGCTCACAAAATGCTGGGAGGTTGATGAAGTTTCTGTGGACTGCATGTGAACACATTGTGGAAGTTGTGTGTATGGAACCGTACGGTCACCCCTCTTCTCTCCCTCCACTCTCTCTCTCTCTCTCTCCTCCTTCACTTCCTCCTTCTCCCTCTCCCTGCACAAAAAAGTAATGATGACATCACTGGGTATGAATTATGGGATGTAATGAAAACTTAGGTTTTCTTTAATATTTTCATTATCATGTTGATGAGGGAAAAGGAACAACCAGGAAGGCAAAATATAAAAAGATTCGTCTTCAAGTTTAATACATTTTCCTGTTTTCTTTTGTTATAGAATGAGTGCCATGTCGGCTCTGTTCCACCTATCGATGTATATTCGGGTAAGTAGAATCCCTATAACTGTTTTCTGCTCTTTGTTACACCACAAGATCGGGTTGGTGATCTTCTCTTATTTTCTTTCTTTTTGATCTGTTACATGAAAGCGCATTTCTTCCTGGGGACTCAAAGCGCTGTGTCTGCTTTTGGGGCACATATTGAGGCAGCCATCATAGACATGCTCCGTAGTGTATCATAAAGGAGCAAATTTAGCTATCGGCATGTGTTTTGCAGTGTGAAAGGAAACCCACACAAGCACAGGGAGAATATGCAAACTCCATGCGGATAGTGTCCTGACTGGGATTCAAACTGGGGACCCCAGTGCTAACCACTAAGCCACTGTGCACCAATACGATAAAGAAAGTTTGTGTGTGTGTGTGTACTGTATGTTTGTATGACCCAAAGTATTTATAGTTCTTTGTTATGCTAAAAGCAGTTGTACAGCAGCCATGAGATTCGCCTGATTTGAAACTGCTTCATATGCTGATGGTCTTTATTGAGACATTCGGCTCTGTATATCCCATGTGCCCTGGCTGTCAGTGACGGTGGGTGTTTTCTCTCTTTTCAGTACTGTCACGAATACTTTGTTGAAGACCTCGATATTCCAGTCTGGGGATCGTATCTCATTTTTGCATTGTTCACTCTACTTCTAGGTCTCATTCTGGGCTTGGTGAGTAGACGAGGTATTGTGTGTGTTGAATCCCTAGGGATATTGTTATAAACGTAATATAACTGTGACAGAGAAAGTAGTGCTGTCCCAGGGACCGAGCAGGCTCCACCCACTACAGGCTGCCTGCATAAAACTACAGAAGTGGCGTAGACGAGACCAGTCACCCTGCACAAGGATAGTGAGCTGTCTTTATTACAGGAGGGGCGGAGCCAAGACCAGCCACCCTGCACAAGGAGAGAGAGCAGCAGTGAGCAGTCTTTATTATAGGAGGAAGCGGAGGCAAAACCAGTCACCCTGTACAAGGAAAGAGCAGCAGTGACTGGTTTTTATTACAGGAGGGGGTGTAGACCAGACCAGTCACCCTGTACAAAGAGAGAGAGCAGCAGTGACCGGTCTTTATTACAGGAGGGGCGAAGTCGAGTCCAGTCACCCTGTACAAAGAGAGAGAGTAGCAGTGACGGGTCTTTATTACAGGAGGGGGCAGAGACAAGACAAGTCACCCTGCACAAGGACAGAGAGGAGCAGTCAGCGGTCTTTATTACAGGAGGGGCGGAGATGAGACCAGTCAGCCTGCACAAGTAGAGAGCAGCAGTGAGCAGTCTTTAGTACAGGAACTGCTTCAGTTGACTGTACAAAGAGATTAGGTGCTTGTGTCGATGAGCATTCTGTGGTTTACATGGATTTGAAATGCACCTCAAACATAGGTCAGCAAAATCCCATTACCTTTAATTGAGCAATACAGATGGCAGTGTTGCTCTGCGTTTCTTTGGACGCAACATGTCCTATTAAGGACCATTTAAAACCGCAGATAGAGTAATTAAGAAAAAAGTAGCGTTTGACTAGAATTGCCTAGTGTCCTGAAGATTAAAGTGAATGTAGTTCTGACTTTAGTACTGGAATCCATCCAGTAGCTCACTGATTGGCTTCTCACATCCTTTAGAATTGCTCTTCAGTTTGTTGGCCTAAAGCTGTATAAAGATGTGAGGTCTGTGGGGTATGGACTCAATAAATCGTAGTTTTCATGCCCCTCCCGGCTGCATCTGATACATGTGGGAGGAAGCCCGGGACAGCGAGCTGACTTGCGATCTACCAGCGTTAGCTTTGCGAACGACTGGTAGATTGTGATCGACCTAAGGGGCACCCATGCATTGCATAGGGATATAACATCACCAAGCCTAAAATAAGGTATGTCATGAAAACAGGTTTTATTTAAAACTGTAATTAGCATGTTGATGAGGGGGAACAAGGGAAGGTGAAGTATAAGCAAATTATACTTTAAAGGAGAACTATGACGTGCGTGATTTTCACTCTTACTCATAGTTAGAGCCGACGTGTGACATTGAAACTGTTCCACGTCGGCTCTATAGATCGGGGAGTGAGCAGAAACATGCAGCCGATCCGCTCACTTCCCGATTGTCTCCCTGTGGAGAGAGGTGACTGTCGGCCACTGCTCCCCGCAGGGATTCCCCCTTCCCTCCGATCCTCCATCGCTGGCTGGAGGGACGGACAGTGGAGGGGGCGGGCACAACTAGCTCTGCCTCTAGATAGGCAAAGCCCGCTCTCAATCAGCCAGCGGGGTGGATCTCGACCGTATTGAGGATCCGTCCCGGCTGCGGCGCTCTCAGTATATAGCGAGCAATAGCCCCCTATATACTGAGCTTTGGGTCACGGGAGGAAGTTAGTATATGTCCTCTCGTGACCCTAAAGAGAACTATGGGATGAAAAGGTTACCCCATAGTTCTCTTTTAACTTTAAATGTATTCCTTGTCTTGGAACATTGTACAGTCTATGGAGGATTGTATATACAAGACGGCACTGTATGTCCTCTCTGATTGCGTTCTTTCTTTATTGCAGCTTCTGGTGTTTGTGGCAGACTACTTGTGTCCGACAAAGAGGCACCGGCCCCAGGGATACCCCCACAGTGAGTTCATTTCTTTTGATACATCAGACACAATCCAGCCACAAAAAGGATAGAGCAAGGAAGGGTGCTTCCTTTTTTTTTTATTGCTGTGTCCCCTCTGGGGAGATTTCCCCTCACTTCCTGTTCCAGCGTGACATGGGAATATGAGGAAAGTTTGAGACCTGAGTCCTATCTATGTCAGCGCTCTTACGGCTATGATCCAAAAACGGAGAAGGAAGTTTATTTTGGGGTAGTGGGGTATGCAGGGGGGTGTGCAACTTTAGTTTCAGTGTGGACCGGGGTGTCCAAGTTGAGAGACAGAACAGACAAAACAAATGGCGGAGTCTAAAGCGCTACTACCCTTAGAGGGGGGGGGGGGTCGTTGATGGAGGTTTTCTGTCACGTCAGATGCTCCGTTCGATGTAAATGACGAGAGGGAGACAGAGGTAACACATGAGGCATAAGTGATGGTGCCAAGAAAAAGAGAGTGTAGTAACTCACCATGAGGTACACATGGGTGTGCCGTCATCGACATCCGGGTCTCTGTGGTGGGGACTTGATCCTGTGGATTCCTCTGGGTTTGATCGAAGTGTGTGCTGGCTCCGTCGGTTTGCTTGAGGGCCGCTGAGGACCACCTCTCCGGCACCAACGGACACCATCACCACCTCATCAGCGGCCCTCCAGCAAACCGACGGAGCCAGCACACACTTCGATCAAACCCAGAGGAATCCACAGGACCAAGCCCCCACCACAGAGACCCGGACGTCGATGACGGCACACCCATGTGTACCTCATGGTGAGTTACTACACTCTCTTTTTCTTGGCACCATCACTTATGCCTCATGTGTTACCTCTGTCTCCCTCTCGTCATTTACATCGAACGGAGCATCTGACGTGACAGAAAACCTCCATCAACTACCTCCCCCCCCCGTTCTCAAAGGGTAGTAGCGCTTTAGACTCCGCCATTTGTTTTGTCTGTTCTGTCATGGGAATATGAGGAATCTCCCTTTCACTTTCAAAGTGCTTTTATGCATGTTGTCCAATGTGAGAAGGTCTAAACCTTTACCTACTCTTTCCAAAACGAAAGGAGTAATGTTGTCCTGGAGTTCCCCTTTATCAGCAAGAGCACCTTTTTGTGATTAAAAAAAATGTAAATCCGCTTTATGTTGCTTTTTATAGCTGAACGTTTCAAAGCCAACAGCCTGAAAATCCTAATTCCTGCCTTACAGCAGCAGTGGCCCTTCATTATCATTCTCAGTACAGCTGACCATTGGCATCCAAGGACAGCCGGAGATGCTGATACAAGCAATCTGCCTTCTTGGATGTCTTGGCTCAGCTTCATCTATTGGACATGGGCGGAGGGGCGGCAGTCAGTCCCCGGGCCTGCTTATCTATTGGGGAGCTATGGCAATCCGATTTTTAACCCGTTTTTGTTCATTTACTTCCTCCTTAGATGTCTTGCCTATGGGGAGTTTAAATACATTGATTTGAAATCAAACATGAATGGGGTTTTATATCGAGAGTGAGAGAGATTGAATTCAGGAGAAACAACAAGTTGCAATAACATTTTTAAGTCAAGTTCAAAGTTTTACCACCTGCTGTGACGTACTTGATGATGGCAGGTTTTACTACTATGCCCTAAATAGCTTGTATTGTAAGCAGACCTGAATAGTATTAAAGAAGAACACCAGGGATTAATGATCTTAACCCTTGCAGTGGGGTTACCCCATGCACTGCAAGGGTTACGTGCTCATTATCTTCTAGGAGCAGGAAATAACAGTTCTACTCGCTGGATTCTGAGTGCCAGCTGGCTGCTACTCTGGTCCCTGAAGCCTGTCCCCTCCTCCACTCCAGCAATGGTGTATCCCTCAGCGTCATCACATCCAATACACTCTTGGATGTGATGACTCATGGGACCTTAGACCGCTGGAGTGGGTAGTCTAAGGGTTCGTTCACACCAGATGCAGTGCGATCCGGCCAGAACGCACTGCATCGCTGCCAGCTCACTTTTTTGCGGGGCAGGAGGGGGCGTGGCGGGCCATTGAAGTGATTGGCACCATAGCCACGCCCCCCGGCCTCAATGCGTTAGTCCGCACGGGATTGCAAGGCACATTGTGCCTGCGGTCCGGTGCAGTGCGATCAAACTAGTGCTTGCTCAGGTGAGTATAACTTTATTTATTTCCTAGACAAAAATGTGCACTTAACCCTTGCTGTGCGGTAGGAGCTCCACTGCAAGGGTTAAGGTAATTTTTCCCCAGAGTTCTTTAAATCTAAAGCTACGCACAGTCGTCTTTTTTTTTTTCTTTTTTTTTTCTTCGGCCTCAGGGGCTGACAAAAAAAAAA